GTTGGAAGACATACATCACACGCATGCACACTTATTACAATTGTGCCCTCACTCGGAGAGTCCGAATAAATAATACAGTCCGAATAATAATTAACTATTACAAAACCCTAATTAATTAACAAATTAACTAGGAAAGCGATAAATCAGCATGCAAGCCTATGGACTGCCTCAGCTCTGTTCTAAATGATGGAAGATGCATGCTTGAGTTGTCTGGCGCGAAAATCCATTGCAATGCCCTAATTCGCCTCTGTTTGCAATTGTTTTCGGAATGTTGTGTAAGGCTTTGGAAAGCTGTTGATTTCTAATTTGCTGCAACAGAGAGCAACAAAGGGGCATGGCAAAGTATTTCACATATGTATGCATGACTACTCTTCAGGGAGTGTAGTCCTCGATCCTCGTACCACCAATCACACATATCGATGCATGATGGCCGAGGAGTCGAATTGCACAACTCAATATGAAATGAATGCACATGAAAACACAACAAGACCTAAACTCCATCATGGGTAATCCGGAGTGTCGGCGACCGGGAATTGAGACGCGTTCCGTCACTCGAAGTACGAAACGTCCCTCGTTTCCCGTGCTTGGGCTAACTCCTATCCCAAACACGATGCAAATGAGATGGCATACACAATGCGACTAACATACAACCTAGCATACGCAATGCTATGAAATGGCATACACAATGCACGATGCAACATGACATACACAATGCTCTAACATACAAACTAGCATACGCAATGCTATGAAATGGCATACACAATGCATAATGGACTTACACCAACATGAGTGGACCTCAGCCACACTCACATCAGTAGCCATGAGATGAAAATGAGACCACCGAAATGTGTGCACACGTGCACGCAAACCGAGGACCGAACCTAAGGCACAACGTGCAACTCTAACAAGGCATGGCAAGGCAGGCAACATGGCATTCAAACATGTAAATTTCAGCACTGAAATATGATACAAAACGATCCCGAATCGTGGATATATGGCACCCGATGCATGAGATGAGCCCCGAAACTTCAAAACTAGGCACATGTATTGACTTGTAGCTATACAAAGCATGCATTATTTGACCATGAAGCACAAAGACAGAGCCAAGGCAGTCCCAAAACATGAACATTTCTAGTTCAAAGCATGACCAAGAGATGCTAGCATGATGGACTAAAATAGCATGCAACTTTTACTAGTAAACATGGTTTACATGGCATGCATATGAAGCATATGAAATCTCACCAAACCAGAAAAAATCAGTGAACAAAACATGCCAAAATATATCCAAATAATCACTGAAATGCAGCCAATATGTGCAAAAATAAGGGGCTTCTTTGGAAGGGCATACAAGGGGTTATTAAGCACATACAAGATAGACACTTAGCATGGCAAAACCAACTCTGGAAATGGATTATGACAGCCCTAAAACTCACCAAATAGGCCCTGAAATTGGTCTAGGAAACATGCAAAGAAAGGCCCCTTTGAAAGACCTTGGATGGGATTGCTCTACACATGCATTGTAGACATAAAATATGATCAAAAGGGCCCCGGATAGACCTAAGGCAGACCTCAAAACCCTCAGAATGAGGCCTGGAAAGTGACTTCGATGCATGAAAAATGGGGTCCCTTTGGGAGGCCCAAAAGATCCCCAAACAAAACAAGGAGAGAGGGGGTCACCCCCCTCTAATTTTGGCCCTCAAAAATGCATCAAAGCCACTGAAAATCCGTTGGATTTCAGTGGCTAAGAGGCCAAACCATGGCCAATGCAAGTGCTCTAATGCATGGCCCTAATCATGAAGGAATGAAGCATGCATAGGGGAAGATGACCCCAAACAGGAATGGGACTTTAACCAAACTTAAAGAGGATGTCAAAATAAGACTTTTTCCAATTCATAGAAAATCTCGAAATGTTCACAAGTAAGGCTAAAACATGATGTAAAAATAGCCCTAAAAGATAGATAAAGGACAAGGGGCAGCAGATGGTCTCAAACAGCAAAGATCCCTTCAACAAAGTTGAAGAGGGGCTGAAAACAAGATACTTTACAGTTTATGAAAAATCTCGAATATGCTCACAAGTAAGGCTAAAATATGATGCAAAAATAGCCCTAAAAGATAGATAAATGGAAAGGGACAGTAGATGGCCTCAAACAGTAAAGATCCCTCAACAAAGTTGAATAGGGGCTCAAAATAAGATACTTCACAGTTTGTCTCGAAGCCCAGAAATGCTCAAAAATAGGGCTAATATATCATGCAAAATAAGCCCCAAAAGAGGAATAAAGCACAAAGGGGGAGTAGAAGACTTCAAACAGAGAAAAATCCTTAATAAAACATGAATATGAGCTCAAAATAAGACTGTTTTTAGTTCAGGCCGAAGCCCAAAAGTGTAATAAAAATGGGCTAAGATATAGAACAAGATAGTGCCAAAATGGGGAGAATAGGAGCTTACCCTTGTAGCCCAACTTTCCAGCAGCCTTTGGTCCAAGGAAATGAGCTTTCAACCTCTGCAAATGACTTCCAAGGGGCTAGAATGGATGATGGTGGTGTGGTGCTATGGGTTGTAGTGTAAATGGACCAAGAAAGTTAGGGTTTTGGAGCTTGGAATAGTGGCAATGGAGAGAGAGGTGTATAAGCCTTGATCAAAAATGTCTAACCCCTAGATACAAAGAGGAGAGCCTCTCTTATAGAGAAGAGAGGCTAAAGCTTCTCTTGGAAGCTTCAAAGATCCTCCATACATGTGTATGGAGGATGCCCCAAATGATCTCTAGCTGGCACAGCTGGATTACACTCAAAGAGAGGAAAAGTAATAAGCAGGCCGGCCAGTTCAAGTGGCCGGCCGGCCACTCCCCCTGGTCGGCCGACCAGGGGTCAAAAGGTTCAAGAACAATTGCTGGTCGGCCTACCCAGAAAGGTCGGCCTACCCAGAAAGGTGGCCTCCCAGATGAGTAGAACACAGCCCTGTGGAGAAAAACCAAAAAATGTGACCCAGGAGAGAGAAAAGCTAGCTTTTAAACAAGGTTCAAAAGGGTCAAGGTGAACTACTGGTCGGCCTACCCATATTGGTGGCCTCCCAGATGAGTAGATCACAATGGTGGTATGAAAAGCCAGAAAATGTGGCTCAAAAGTAGGAAAAGCCAGCTTTCTGTTAGAAAAACCGGCTTTTGGAGAGAGAAAATGAGAAAATAGGTTTTTCAGGGGAATAGGTGGCCGGCCACCATCGTACCACCTCTCTAACAGTGAAAATAGGGTCTCCACCAAAAATGGACCAAAACGGATGCAAAATGAAGGTTCGGGGGCCAAAACACGCAGTTCGGGGCCTCGAAAACAGGCTGTTAGGCACCGGAAGTGGCGTATGACCACGAAGGTGGTCTCCAGGGCCACAGTGTTCCTCCAAAGGGAGGAAATAAGATGTGTGCCAAAAATCGGAAAAACAGAAGTAGTTAAGCGGTCCCGAACCGAGGCACACGGCCGACGGCTCCGAAAATTGGAAACTGGGCTCCAAACAGGAAAAATGGCCTAGGACCACGAAACGTAGACTACGGCCACTGAGAGATGGTCTACGAGACCTCTCCCTCCCTTCGGGAAAAGAAAACAAAGAAAACAGGACCTGGTTCGTAAACCGAAGCAAAGCACAAAAGAGCCCCGAAGTCCGAAGGCAAGGCTCGCAGCCGAGACTCGACAACCTCAGAACGAGCACAATATGCAACACCACCAAGCGCTCAACTGGTGACGTCTGAGTCTTAAGGTCGATCAAAAATAGGGTGTCTACAGGTAAGATTAAGAGAGCCAGAGATGGGTTTGTTGATTTCTTACTCCAAAAACATGTTCTATATTCCTCCTCTTGCCATGCACCGAGAAAAAGAGAAAAAGAGTTGAAGTGTGTGTGTATCTTTTTTTCAATCAAACTGCTGAGAGAGAGTGAGAGCCGAGTTTGAATGCATGGTTTTATCAGGCAATCATGGCTGGAGAGGAGTGAGAGTGAGATATAAAGAGAGAAACTGGGCGTTTTTGATGTCTTCCTCTCCTAATCGAGACCCAGAGAGAGAGTCAAGATGCTTGTCTGGGTGTAGCTCTCATTGTGTGTGTATAATGAATCTCAATGTGTGTATGTGGTCAAGCTCAATGTATGTATATGGAGAGAGCCGAGAGGGAGAGGTACAATGTATGTGTGAATGCTTCACCCCCCCCCCCAGAGAGAGATGAGAGTGGGTCTAGCTTATGTGTGCGTCGAGCCAGAGAGAGATCAGAAGTGTATCCTTTTATTTTTTATTTTTATGGCCCCGTCCATATGAACACCTCTCCTGCCAAATTTGAAACTTCATTTTTTTTATGGCCTTATCCTCTTCCTCTCTGCCATCCAGCAAAGCATACCACCCTTTCTTTTTTTTTATTTTTGTTGTTGTCCCCCCCAATCTGCTTTCCATCACCTCCAATAAAATATCCCTCTCCTTCTCATCATCATTCTCCCTCAATTAATCAACTTTACACCCCTCCCTACCATGCACTCTTTTTTTCTTTTGTTTTTTTAACATAATTGTCCATCCCCCACCAAATATAATCATCATCATTTAGCATCATAACATTTTCTTTATCTTTCCCCCTCCCCAAAAATCCCTCCAAACATTCTGACCATACTATTTTTTTTGTTTTTGTTGTTTTTCTTCCTTTTTTTTTTTTTTTTTTTTTGTTTTTGGTTTTGGTTTTGATGAAAACACCTAAAAATATGTACACACAAATAAAATTATAAAATATTATAAAATACTACAAATTAATAATTTTGCCAAAATGGGTGAGGTTTGGGATTAAAACTTCAATATGAGTTTTCTGCTAAGAAATTCATAAAATAGTATATTTCAATTTTCATCAGTGGGTGTTCAAAACAAAGTGCCCAAGTCTTAAGAATAGTCAAAATGAGGTGTCTACAAACTTGGAGGGCCACGATATCATGTACAGGCCGTGTATATTATATATATTGAATGTTATGGAAATACACTTGCACATATATTCATTAGATGCCTCTGGTTTTATGGATGTGCTGAATCCTATTCTTTTATGTTCACAGTTATGGTTATTCCAAAGAAAGATTTGTTTGGTCCTTAATATCTGTTGATGGTATCTTTTGTCTTGGTTCTGGTGCTACAATAGTTCATAGCATTCAGAACTTGTGCACTTCTCAGGTAATCAACTAATTGAATTGTCTCTTGACAAATCTACTCCATTTTTTCATTCCTGAAATTTAGATGCTCCTATGTTACATGATGTAGTCTCATTATGCAACATTGCAATACAAGGGCATATGGTAACAAAATAAACGAAGATGTAGTCAAATTGAAAGCATGTTATTCAGATTGCTGCAATTTTTACATTGAAGTAATTATATTTTCTCTAATCTTGTCAAATCATGGTACTGCTGCTTCTTTCTTTGTAATCTGTCCCTTAAAATGTTGTCAAATATGCAGGATGGTGCTACAGTAACAGGTATGCTCATTGCTGCTGCATCATTGGTTGCGGTGAATACCACAGGAAACGCAATTTATGATCTCATTGGTTCAATTATAGTGGGCAACGTTCTTAGAATGGTAAGTGATGTGCTCATACTTGCCTTCAATTCTTTTAGCTTAATATAAATGCACACTAATTTTCCTATATTGTGATCAAGTAAATCATTTACATATTTGAAAGTTGTATTTGACAACCTAGAGTTGAATTGTGGTAAACAGATTGTACAATTGATACAAAACTTGGCTTCTATAACTAAAAATAACCTTCCTTTTTCCAAATGTTCCATTTGTTTTTGAAGGCATGTATATAGCTTTTGCTCTATGTATTTAAAGAAAATCTAAGAAATGTATCACTATTAAAGAAAATCTAAGAAATTTATCACTATTAGAACCAAGAAAAATACAATACCTTAAAGTAGACTTTCTGTCAACAATATCCCCTGCCCAATTAGAGTAAAAAAAGCCATGAAGATCAAAGGTGCTTGGACTGTAGGTAAGACAGTGGAGAAGGCAAGCTAAGATTAACGCTTGTAATAATAACCTTCCAGATTGTCTCATTGTATCACTGAGACTACATCAAGTTGGTTTATAGATTGAATCAGGAATGGAAATAGGTGCACCCAACCAAAATTCTTGTAAGCTTTTACGAAATGAAATCAAGCAATTTCATTTTTTTTAAGTAAAATCTCTTACTCTATAAATTTTCTTTTTTTCAACTTTAGATTTTTACCCTCGATAAATAGAGAATTTATGTCTGCAGGAAGCCATGGAGATGATGGTTGCTTGCTCTGCAATGGCTTTAGCAAAAAGGGAACAATTAAAAGGAGGAGACAACCAATCACCAGACAGCTTTTGAGACAAGTGGAATTGTGGAGGTATAATAAGTGCAACTGTATTAACCGGAGGAACCTTGATGGCAATTCTCGAAATTTCTAATATAAAGATATAGAGGGCACAAGCTGAGTGTTCATGCAATTGCATCAACCCATGATGGTGCACTCGCTAGAAGATATTTGGGTAAATTTTATATTATTTAGAACTTAATGATAGTTTTTTTTTTTTTGGACGGTTTTGAAGTTGAGGACAATTTTTGATGTTTAGAAACATAGTTTTTGGATGGTTTGGAATGTACAGACAGTTTTTGGATGTTCGAAACTTATGGATAGTTTTTTTTTTGATGTTTGAAATAATATTTTAGTGGTTGATTGATACTTATATATATATATATATTTGTGAAACTTGTTTGCAATATATTTTTAGATTGTACAGAACAGGTGAAATAGAGCCTGTTGAATTAAAAAAAAAAAAAAACTAAACATATTCTACGATTAGCAGAATAGGTCGTTGTGTTAAATATTTAATGACTAGCAATGAGTGTCGTGGTTTGTCTCTTGAATTAACGACGTGCAAAAGTAGTCGTAGAAAAATTAAACATGACCTATAAGATGTACTGTTAAAAGTTTTAACAGCATGCTATGGCATGCCGTTGGAAGTGAATAACTTTCCATGACTGGTCATAATATTGTTAGAAATGGTTTTGGAAAATTAGGTTTTTTCCTAAACTTTGGTCTATTTTTTAGGTGGAACCCATGCGCCAAAGTTGGCGAGTCTAAGTGGTAACGTGTTCTATGTCACGTTGTGATTCACATGGTATATTTGGTTGCTCAAAACCATTATCGGGTGAATAAGAAATTGAAGCCAAAGAGAGCTCCATGGAAATGGTATATTGGTAAAGTTTCCTTAAAGGTTTGAACTAAAGGCTTGTCCGGCATTGGTTTGGTGGACAAACTTTTGTGGGTTTATAAGGCTTAAGTTTACAACTTACAGAGGGCCCCAAGGGGCACCCCAAGTTTGTAGAAGGGAGAGGTTATGGGTAAAGTTGGTTAGACCCATTGGACTCAAAAATAAACACACGCGTGCGCGCGCCGCTGTCTGTCCGTCCGTCCGAACGAGCTAGGCTTGGGTTGGGTTGGGCTTGTCCAGCCCAATACTAATTATTTTTTGGAATTTAAATTTCAAAAATTAAATTCAAAAATTGGCTATTACACCTGTCCAGTTTTTTCCCCACCCGAACAGATGCATATCTGTTTGAATTTAAACCAAACAGATTCATATCTGTTTGAAATTTAAACCCAACAGGTTCCTCACATGTTCATTCAAACAGAACAAGTATAATACATGTTTAAACAAGTTTGTACCTATTTAATTCAAACCAAACAGCCACAAATTCTCCTATAATAGATAGACCCTCATTTGGATTTTGCATTCAGAAAATTTATTCTTCCCTCTGTAATTACTCTCTACATTTTGCTGTATTTAATTTTCCTGTGAGAAAGAGTATAAACACAAACAAAGTGTGTTCATTGTACGAATAATTTGTAGTGTTGCAATTATTCATTGTTGATCATTTTATCTTCGGAGATAAACATCCTCAATCTAAAAGCACTGTGGAGATGACAAATCTGTCTTAAAGACATAGTGTTAAACACTGGACTTGATCAGAATTTTGTTCAATAAATATATAAGGTTAGTAATTAATTTACTTTTTATTTTATTTATTTATTTTTTATCAGATTCTGATTTTATTTTTGTAACAGAATAAGAATCTATTATTTTATTTTATTTTCTTTACTGGTCTGATTTTTGTAATCAAACAATCTATCTCCTTTTTTTATTTCTTCTGTTTGTTGTTAAGTACACAAACTTTAATACAATGAAGATTGTCCCACAATATTAAGACAGATGATTTTGGTGTCTTCATTGTATTTATTTTTCTGTGCTTTCACAAAGTGATATTCTGGTTGGAAAATACAAATAATAGTAATATACTGTTTATTTTCTTTGACAACTAGTAGTAATATACTGGTGTTATTAACAATTTCATAATATTAATTTGTGTAGTACTTATACAGGAAATTATTGTGTAGTATTTTATTTTTCTGGTTTTAGTAACCAGAAAAGTAAAATTATTTTGTGTTATAATTTATTTTCTGGTTTGAGTAACTAGAAAATTAATTTTTGTTTAGTTTTAATTTTTTCTGATTTTTTGTAATCAGATATTATGGCTGCTGAAAGTAGTACTCCAAATCCGATTATTACAACGACTTTGGTCCCTATCCAGAACCATGTTTAAGTTTCTATAAATCATGGAGAAAAATCGAAAAAATTTAATGGCACCGAGTTTAAGAGATGACGGTAGAAAATGTTGTTTTATCTTACAATTCTGAATCTTTGCGGTTTCTCCGTGAAAAGGCTCCAGTACTTAGAGAGGATGAAAGTGATCAGCAAGTTGTTGCCACTATAGACGCTTGGAAATATTCTGATTTTCTGTGCAGAAACTATATTCTCAATGGCCTTGACAACATGCTCTATAATGTTTACTATTCTCTAAAAACAGCAAAAGAATTGTGGGATTCTTTGGAGAAAAAATACAAGACAGAGGATGCCGGTACAAAGAAATTTGTTGTTGATAAATTTTTAGACTTCGTTATGGTAGACTCCCAAACAATAATTTCTCAAATTCAAAATTTTCAATTAATTTTGCATGATATTCATACTGAGAATATGTCTCTGAGCAAGTCTTTCCAAGTCACTGCGTTAGTTGAAAAATTACTACAGGCTTGGAAAGATTTCAGAAATTATTTAAAACATAAACGCAAGAAGATAACCACGGATGAATTGATTGTAAAACTAAGAATTGAGGAAGATAACCGTAAGGTTGAAAAGAATAATGGTAAAAATCTCATTGAGTCCAAGGCTAATGTGGTTGAACATGTACCCAAATCATATAACAAAAAGAGAAAGTTTGCTGAAGATAGTCCTAAACAAGGCAACAACAATGGCAATAAAAAGTTCAAAGGTAAATGCTATAACTGTGGCAAGACCAAACATGGAGCCTCTGATTGCCGCTGCCCTAAGAAGGATCGCTGAAGTACAAGCAAGAAGACTACCAATCAAGCCAATGTGACAGAACTTGATTACATCTCTGACGGGGTAAATGACATCAATCTCTCTATTGTGGTGTCTAAGGCTAATTTGATTGGAAATCCCAAGGAATGGTGGGTTGACACTAGGGCAACTTGACACATTTGCGCGGACAAGAAGATGTTCACTACCTATAATGAGGCTGCAAATGGTAAGCAACTATTCATGGAAAATTCATCTACTTCTGTTATGGCTGGACAAGGGAAAGTAGTCTTGAAGATGACATCGGGGAAGGAACTAACCCTCAACAACGTGCTGCATGTACCAGACATCCAAAAGAATTTAGTTTCTGATTTTTTCTTAAATAAAAATGGTTTTAGGCTTATATTTGAATCTGATAAATTTGTATTAACAAAGAGTGGTATGTATGTTGGTAAGGGATACATAGGTGATGGTCTCTTCAAGTTAAATGTAATGACGGTTGTACCAAAACTTGCTATTAATAAGAATAACATATTTTTTGCTTATATTCTTGAGTCAAATTTATGGCATAGTAGATTAGGACATGTGAATTTTGATGCTTTGTGTAGTTTAATTGGTTTGAATTATATACCAAAGTTTGAAATTGATCCTAATCACAAATGTGAGATTTGTGTAGAAGCGAAACTAACTAAGGCTCCATTTAAATTGGTTGAAAGAAAAATTGAACCTCTAGAATTAATTCATACTGATGTGTGCGCTCTTAAATTTGTTCAAACTAGAGGAGACAAGAAGTATTTCGTAACATTTATCGATGATTGTACAAAATATTGTTATGTATACTTACTTAGAAGTAATGATGAAGCCTTAGAAATGTTTAAACTTTACAAAACTGAAGTTGAAAATCAACTTGGTAAAACGATTAAAATGGTTAGAAGTGACAGGGAAGATGAATATGATGCACTTTTAAATGAATTTTGTGCACAACATGGCATTATTCACCAAAGTACAGCACCCTATTCTCCATAGCAAATTGGGATTGCTAAAAGGAAGAATAGAACCCTTAAATAAATAATGAATGCCATGTTACCAAGTTCAGGCTTACCGCCGAACTTGTGGGGAGAAGCAATATTGTCTGCTAATTATGTTCTTAATAGAATACCCTACAAAAAAACGAATAGCACTCCTTATGAATTGTGGAAAGGTCGACCACTGTAGACCGCCCCAAGAACTCCCGCTCTCCGCACCGCGGGGGCACGAATCGTTTTGTTCTGAGCTACTACAGTTCAGACTCGTGTCAAGGTTCTGAATCTAATCTCACAAAATGCAATGTGAGACCGATAAATCACCAAAGAGTCTAAATCTGGCAAATCGTTTTGGAAAACTGATTTTTATAAAGAAGTGTCAAACATGGACTACTTTGCCAGATACAGAGTCGCCACCTAAAAATTTTATTTTGGAGAAATTTAGGAAACCCTGACTCGTGCCTAAGGCCACGTGTCCATCATCACCAAAGTTGCCTCGGCTTGAGAACTTGTGTACGAGAGGGGAAGGTCATGCAATGAGCACCCCCGCTCGCCCGATCAAAAATTGGCCTTTACTAACATGATATTTTGTTTTTGAAAACGCATGTGTTCTTATTCCGGTTATTAACCTAGAATTACTATGTGATGTGCGCAACATACAAGTATGACTAGATCACCTAAGTTTGAACAAAACATTGCATGTTCGTTTGTTTGAAAATGGTTTGAAGTTTGCTACTCGCATGTAGGCTAAGTCGCAGATTTTGATGAATTGTTCCAATTCAAGCAATCCAATCTTCACCCACAGGCATTCAGGCAGTTAATCAAATAAGCAATTAGTCTCATGGTAAGCATGCTAAACGTGGCAACATTTACACACATGCAGTATGCTAAAGTGTAAACACTCACAGTGTACTCCGAGCCAAAACAGAGAACTAGTTAGAAATCATGCATGATCCTAGTTCATGTTAACATGGCTAATGCAACA